TATGGGAAAGATGATCTTCTTCCCTCAGTAACACTGCTAAGTAAATTCTGAGTTTACACAGGCAATATAATATGGGTTTAATATATTTTTGTTTTGTTTAATAAATTTATTTTTGAAAAAAAAAATTGTGACATTCTAGCTTAACATGCACCATCCATGCAGGCTCTGAGGCAGAACTGCAAATTTAGAGAATGCAGAATCATGCTACTCTCAGCCAGACTTCTCTGCCCATAAACAGAGTCCCATGAATTTGGAGTTCAGTCACGTGGGATAATGCCAATGTCAGTGAGACTCACTGCAGCAAAAATTGTACAGAAGATGTTTCATTTTTGTGCCTCCAGACAGAATTCAGTGAATAGTGAAATCGCATTCAAAGCAGTCTAATAAAAACTAGAGTGTGTTTTTCTAACATTATGATTATTTTCTTCACAAAGTAACATCATCTATGCAAAATCTAACTGATCTCCTAAAATTAATTTGCGAAGAACTGTGCATGCATCACATCAAAGTTCTTACCTGGTTGTCACGGAAGTCCAGAGAGTTTGTAGCCAATTCTATCCTTGCTCTGTGACTGCCATTTCTTGGAGCAGTGGCTGTTTGCTTGGAAAAGCTTCATGCGATGCTCAGGATTAGAACCCATACTGTGGTCTCTCCAGCTAATCTGTTCTTTCTGTGAAATGCCCCAAACCAGTTCCTCCCCAGCCCAGACACACTTCTCCTTCAGATGAAACCACTGTGCGAAGTGCAACCTTCCTCACTGTGTACAAGCAGAGGTCGCAGAGGTCACGGAAGCTCTTTGCTCTTATCTCCATGAAAGCAGAACTCCACCAGCGAGCTTGCTGGAGGGTGCAGTCTAGGGAGAAAAGTGGTGGAAGCACAGATGCCTTGGCTTGTGGGCTTATTTATTTGTTTATAAATTTGATACCATTGTGATTTTAATGTTTTTAGTTTTTAGTTTTCTTTTCAGCAGAGCCCAGCCCCACCTTTTTTTTTTTAACTCTGCATTTGCTTTATAGCTTTTTCTTCCTTCCCAATTTCAGGAAACCCCCAGAAAGAAAAAGTGGACAAAGCAACATTTAAGGAAGCAGTGAGATGAAAGTCTCTTTTACCCCTTTTCTTTTTCTCTTTCTTTTGTAATTTTCCAATATCCGTCCCTTCATCAGTGTACATTTCCCACCACCAATATCTCCAGTCTCCCTCCTGCCCAGATGTTTCCATCTGCCTCTATGGCAGGTTCTCCCTCTCACCTCTTCTCCTCTTTTCTCTCTCTCTCTCTCTCTCTCTCTCTCTCTCTCTCTCTCTCTCTCTCTCTCTCTCTCTCTCTCTCTCCTCCCCTTAATCCCCCACTTTTGTTCAGGTATTCCAAATCTTAATTCAACCTTGGGAGATTATAGCAATCTAGAAACATCCATTTCTTCAAGGTTCTTTTGTTTCATGGCATAAAGATTCTCAAAGTTATCTCTAATGATTCTTTGAATTTCTGTGGTTTCTGCTGTGATGTCCCCTCTTTCATTTCTGATTCGGTTTATCGGAATTTTCTGTCTCTCTTTTTCTGAGTCTTGCTAGTGGTTTGTGATATTGTTTTTTTTTTTTTTTCAAAGAACCGTCTCTTGGTTTCATTGATTATTTAGATTAATTTTTTTAAGATTCCATCTCATTCATTTCTGCTGTAAGTTTTTTTTTTTTTATTTCCTTCCTCCTGCCTGGTTTTGGCTCCTTCTGTTGGTCATTTTCTAAGATCTTAAGCTGTGAAGTCAAGTTATTGATGTGAGCCCTTTCTTCCTTCCTGATGACTGGAGAGCTCTAAACTTTCCTCTTAACTCTGCTTTTGCTGTGTCCCACAAGTTCTGGTAGCCATGCCCTCACTTTGTTTTGTTTTTTTTTTTGTTTCCAGAGGAAATCAAAAGGTTCCTGAAAACAGGCTTGCTGGTTTTAAAGCTCTTTAATTTCTGAGTGTTTGGGTAAACTTACTCCTAACATTAAAAAATTAAAATTTATAATGCTTCCTCTTTTGTTAGAAACCATAAGCCAATAAAGTTTAGTCATTTTCCATTTCTGTTTAATCTCTCATGAAATAAGAGAACAATTGCTTTACTACTAAAGAGCATATCACGATCATGATCATCCTGTTGTTCGTGAATTGCCTCCAGCAGGCACTAGTAACGTCTCCTTCGCCCTAGCCCTGAGATTATAAAAAGTGCCACATTCAAGGCTCTTTCAGGGTTAGGAGAATGAGACCCATCATTGTTAATGGTATTTGGCATATTGGGTACACCACGAGGAGTTTGCCAGACTCTGCCGTGTGGGCAAGTTACATTCGGTAGCCTGCCAGGTTGTCCAAAACAAGAATGAGATAATAACATGTTGCTTCCGGGAGCTGGGTTTTATAGTCTCTGGGTCTTGGCCATTGATGGGATTACACAGCACGGGGGCGGGGTGGGGGGGCACTTGGTGGGTGTGACCCCCGCCTACTGGAAGATGGAGAATCTGGGTGGAGGATGTTCTGCCCCGATCCAAGCAGGCTTGGAGATCTCAGTCCCGGGACCTGCATGCCTTTGTTACTCTGCCGGTACCTTCATGTATGTGGAGAGTGGTCTCAGCATGGTTGTGGCTGGTTCCGGAGGTCCTCAGCTGCCGGGGCTCTGCTCCGGGTGGAGAGGGAAACTCAACCCACCTCCCTCCACGGGGCCCCAGTGAGGACAGCCAGGCACGGGGTCAGGAGACTCTGCGCTGTTCTCTTCCAGGAGCTGGGTTTTATAGTCTCTGGGTCTTGGCTGTTGATGGGATTACATGGCGCTGGGGGCCGATGGAGAGGTAAACAAATTCAATAATAACTTGATGGGTCCCAGAGTGATAGTACAGCAGGTAGAGCTCTTATCTTGCATGGGGCCAACCCAGGTTCCATCCCCAGAGTCCTATCTGGTCCCCTGAGCTCGAGGAGTGATCCCTGAGCACAGAGCCAGGAGTAACTCCTGAGCATCACTGGATGTGTTCCAAAAACAAAGCTGTGTATTTACTAAAGGGCAGCAATGTTGTATCTCTCCTGCCACTTACATTCAGTGGTCTCCGCTTCCCCCACCCCGGGGAGGCCAAGGGCCATGGGTAGGCAAAGGAAGGAAGGAGGACCAGGCTGGTCCTCAGTTGCAGTTTTAAAAAATAGGACATAGGGCACAAGAAAATAGAAGGTCACTGACACTCAGATTCCGGTTGAGCATAATTGTTTTCAAAATAAGTCTGATAAGTGATCTATATACTTTGTTCTCTCCTGTCTTCAGACTCTGCGCCAGGCTATGGGGCGGGTGAGAGCCCTCCCCACCCCAAGGGACCCAGCCCCAGCAGCCGACCTCTACTGCCCAACCACCGCCACACTCCAGGCCACTTTCCGAACACATTATAAGACACTTCCTACCTATTTATGCCTCCCAGAGAGCCCGGCAAGCTACTGAGAGTATCCCGCCCACATGGGCAGAGCCTGGCAAGCTCCTTGTGGCTTATTCGATATTCCAAATACAATAATGGCAACAGGTCTCATTCCCCTGGCCCTGAAAGAGCCTCCAGTCATTGGGAAAAGATGAGTAAGAAGAGACTGCTAAAATCTCGGGGCTGGGAGGAATAGAGATGTTACTGGCGCCCGCTCAAGTAATTCGATGATCAGTGAGATGACAGTGATACAGTGACAGTGATACAGTCCTCTCCTGTCTAGAAATTCTATAACAGAACTGAGAAGAGGGTCAATACGATAATAATTAGGCTTGATTTTGAAAACTTACTAAAAATGTTTTCAATCAGGTGAATTTTGGAAGTCCTAAGTTCTCCATTTTGGATCAGTAAATTGCCAGATTTAGTCAGTGTTAAGTAGGATCCATGTTGGATTGCATTTCCTTTGAGGAAGAGGGGGTCCCTCTCCCTCTGACAGAGCATGGGGGTGCTGTGCACAGTCCTTTAGTCCTTCCCTGGCCCAGCTTGGGCCCTGTGACATCAGCCACCACCCGATTTTCCTAGTTTGGAGTCTTTAACTCCTTCCTCCTTCATGACAAAAACATTTTCAGCTTGGTTGGTTTATCTCAGGAAGCATTAAGTATACTCTTCATTCATCTCTGAGACCCTAATTTCCTCTCAACCACTCATATAGAATGTTAAACCATCGATGCATTTGGGGTTTTGGATTTTTTTTGTTTGTTTGTTTTGGTTGGGGCCATACCAAGCAGCTGCTCAGGGCTTACTCCCGGCTCTGTGTTCAGGGATCACTTCTGGCAGGCTCAGGGAACCATGTGCAGTGCCAGGGATCAAACCCAGGTTGGCTGAGTGCAAGAGAAGCATCCTACCTACTGTATTATCATTCCGGCCCCTATAATGTTAGTTAAGTTGTAGAAATTAAAAGTAAATTGGAACTATAAGACCAATTAGTGGTCACCTGTGGGGACTGTCAGCCACCTGCATAAAGATGGACACAGGAGTCAGTGTGTGATGAGTGAACTCTCAGTGGGGTAATTACTGTCGCACATACACATATTAAGTTTCACTGATGAGTGTTTGAAACTTCTTTCATGTTAGAATGCAACATTCCTTCAATTTAAAAAAAAAATTAAATGAATTGTTCCAAAAGCTCAGTGTATTTTAGACCCAACTTCTTTAAGTACTATCTATCCCAAGAGTGCAATCTCTCTCACATTACCTGAGTGGTAATTAATGCAGTCCATGGGGTAATTATACATGAAGAACGTGAAGTGAGTGTAAAGAGGGTGGCTTTATAGTCGTTTGCCTCAGGAACAGCTGCCTCATCTCTCTGACCATCTCTTTCTTACATCAATACGTCCAGAGTAAACCATGAAGGAAGAACAAACAGCTCCTCAGCCACTTGAGATGAGACAGAGGTTCCTTCCCTTCGCGATTAGTTGGTATCAGAAGCCTGGGGATTTCCTGGCTGGTTACAGTCTGTTTCTAAAACATCCTCAGTAGATATTTGTGTGCTTTGTGTTGTGTGTGTGTATGTGTTTCAGTCAAGAGAATCCATCTCCTTAAATGACCTGAAGTCGGAGGTGTCACCCCGGATTTCAGCAGAGGACTTGATCGACCTGTGTGAGCTCTCGGTGACAGGACACTTCAAAACAGCCCCCAAGAAGACCAAGTCCAGTAAGCCAAAGCTCCTGGTGGTCGACATCCGGAATAATGAAGAGTATCCTTTCCGCAGGGGCTTCGAGGGGAGGGTGGCGTTCATTCTCCTGTCATCTCCACCCCATGGAAGGGAGGTCGGTGAGAAGCAGTGACCGTAGCTGGAGTCGCTCAGAACTCAAGTGTCCAAGGAACACTCTCACTGGGTGCCCGGCGGGCTCAGGGAACATCAGATAACCACTTCCTGCTCCAGAGACCTTCAAAGGGTTTCCGAAGAGCACCAGAATTGGGGGTATTTTCTTGCGTATTTTGTTTCTCTGGCTGTCACTGTCTTGAGTGCATTTGAGTCTTTCTGGTAGCTAATCATCGCTGTCATATGCTCCCATGGCGTGTCAGATGCAGGCCCCCGAGCTGCTGACTGTTAATCTCTCCATCCCTCGCTCTGATAAAGAATGAAGAAAGGCTGAAACCAGATAGCTACCTGGCGTGTTCCTTGAAGCAAGTGGCTAGCTGGTCTCTAGTAGAGCTCTTAAGTAAAAGGGAGTTCACAGAAACAAGACTTTCTCAACCTAGGCTGCACACTGCAGTGTGCACTCTGACCCTGAACCTCGTCCCAGACCCACAGGGACCCCTGTTCATTCCAGGCTGAGTGTTCCGATGCTCTGGCACATTTCTGCAAATCTTAGCATAGACAGATCTCTACATCCAAGGAAGATTGATTTCAGACATTCAGTAACAAAATCAGAATACTCTGTGGTGGGATGCATGTTAGAAAATGGTCCTTTCCTACAATAATGACCTAATCATAGGATTTAATCAAAATGCATTTCAAATTTTTTTAAATATTTCTACAAAATTAACACTGATACTGGTATTCTAACAAGTTACAAATTGAAATCAATTGAAATCCTTATAATATTTTTAGTAGAATTATTTTTAGAGGATAATTTACTTTCAATCACCATGAATGTTTGCAATTTAAGTTCTGCCTGCAACATATTAGTTTACTAATATGTAGAATGAATAAATCCAGTTTAATAAATAAATACATAGTGCCAGTACGTTTAAAAATTATTTTATCTCTCTCTTACTAACAAAATGCAGTCCTCTGCAGTGGAATAAAAAGAAGTTTCCCATCTCCAAAGGAAATAAGTTGTTTTGGAGTGCTTAAAAATTTTTTCTAAATTTTTATAATATAAAAAGTCTATTTTTATAGACCTAAATGGGAAAATGTTCTTCAATATGGTTCTTACATATAGGCAGAATTTTTCTTTTCCTGATACATGTCTTCTAAAGACTAAATGTCTAAGATTCAACTTTTGTTTTTGACCCAGACAAAATAATGACTGTCAGCGGTAGGGCGTTTGCCTTGCACGCAGCCAACATGGCCGACCTGAGTTCGATTTCTCCGCCCCTCTCGGAGAGCCCGGCAAGCTACCGAGAGTATCTCGCCCACACAGCAGAGCCTGGCAAGCTACCCGTGACGTATTCGATATGCCAAACAACAAAGTCTCCAATGGAGACGTTACTGGGCCCGCTCGAGCAAATCGATGATCAACGGGAGGGCCTTTACTTTACTTTTACTTTGAAAGAAAGGGAGGCATAACCCAGGGCCCCCCGTGCATGTGGAGAAGAACTCTCATACGTCGGCCCTTCTAAATTCTCCTTGAAGGCCTTCTATTGGGAGGGGATGGGTCACACCCAGCTCAGGGGTTGCTGCTACTTTTTACTTCACAACTTTCATGAAATAACTCCCCCCAAAGCTCTGTACTCAGGAGTCATTCCTAGCAGTGCTCAGGGATCTGTATAGGATGCCGGGGTTGGAACTGCCTTTCCTCCATGCAAGGCAAGCACCCTGCCCACTGGACTCGCCTACCAGAAGACATAAGGTGGGAGCAGTGTGTGCAAGTGTTTTAGTTGGGGCTGTCAGGGCACAGGGGTCTTCTGGTGAATGAAGAGCAGGGGACGCATCCTGCTGGGCATGACAAAGTGTGAACAGTGGGGGGAATGTCACAGGGCCAGGGGCTGTGTGCTGCCCTGTGGCCTCAGAGGCAGGGATGCTCCTAGAAGCTCTCATGTGAGATGGGCATCCGATACCTGCCATTACTCATATCCCTGCAACTTCAGGCGTTCCGAGTACCGGGTGTAAGGGGTGCAAGGGGAGAGTGCTGAACCCTGAGATGCTGCTAAAGCCTGATCACTTGGAGCCTGGTCTTAAATATTCCCAGTCAGAAAACAAATACCCTAAAACAGGCATTAGTCTTCTTTAAATTTTGTAAATCATGTATGTCTGTATTTTTTTATGTTTTTTTTTTTCTGTGCTGCACATCTGTCCTAGAGTCCCATGTGCAATGTGGATTGAGCTGCCTGCGTGGCTCTGAGTTCGTGGCTGGGTGTCACCTTTGAAGAGAATGCCCCCTGTGAGGAGATGCACATCTGCCACCTGAGGGAACTTCCCCGAAGCCCAGCAGGGCCAAGGGTGGGACACCAGACAGGAAAGCTGGAGGGGCGTGGAGACAGATCCCCCCCCCACCCCACCCTGGCAATGCAGACTTGCTCCCAACTTCCACATTAACCAGGAACGCTGGACACAGAACAGTCCCAACCCTGAACAGAGTCGGCAGCTGATATCAGATGCCAGCGCCATGTCAAAATCATATTTTACTTTCCATTCTTTTTTTAATTTCAGACAGAAACATGGAATTAAAACTGAGGTAAAGATTCCACCCAGATATATTTGTTTCATACAGTATGGGGATTTTGGAGTAGACAATTGCTGTACTTTTTAAATACTCACTACAAAGTGTTTCTTATGTAGTGGCAAAGTTTTATTAGTGTTAATAGTTACAGAGATAAATAAACAAGCCAAACTGTTGTTTCTTTAACTTTAATAGTTCTAAATATTTAGGGTTTCAGATTTCCTGGAGTCCATATTAAGAGTAATATTAGGCATGTAAATGAGGGTTTAACGGGTGTTTTCTATAAACAGAAGACTTGGAAGGAATGTTACTCTCATTTGCTTGGAGTTGGGGCTGATATTTTTTCAGCTTTATTTGTAAAAATCTTGCCCTTTTTTTCTTTTAATGTCAGAAGCTGTAGTCAGCTATAGCAAGGATAATATCAAACTTGAATTACTTTTTTTAATTTGAAAAATGTGTAAACTCAGTTGTTTTCATTATCATCCCTATCCTTGCTTCATCCTCAGTAAACCCCAGACTCTGTGTCCTGTAAAACTAAATCTTTCATTAAAAAAAATATAGTGACTTGAAGCTATCTTGTACCTAGAGCAAGACAGATAGTAAAGGTGGGCAGTGAGGTGTTTTCCGTCCCACTCTGGTAGGTTCATGCTCCGGGTGTGCTCCAGTCTCTGAAGGACTGTGTGACGAGGGGGCTGCAGCCAAGGACAACCCTGGTGCCACGATTAGTCACTGTGAGGAGACTGGGACCTGCCAAGAGACCCTGTGTGGGGATGGGGTGAATGGCTGAGGGGCCTTGCTGAGGGCCCTGTGTGGGGATAGGGTGAGTGACTGAGTAGATCTGCTGAGGGGCCTGTGTGGGGGTGAGTGACTGTGAGGGGACTGAGGGGCCTGTGTGGAGTTGGTGGCTGTGAAGGCACTTACTGAGGGACCCTGCTGCATGTAGCATGTGAACTGCGGGGAGGCTGGAAGATGAGAGCTGGGGAGGGGGGACCATGAGGTGAGGAGGTGGTGGGGAAGCTCCTAGGAGCACACAGGAGCACTGTAGGATGGGCTGAGAGGTTCTGTTTGATGCCCAAGGTGGGTGTGGGAGTCAGTTAGGCCTGCAGACACTTGTGTGAAGGTGGAGCAGGAGGGTCCAGAGAAGGGAAGATGCAGGGATGGAGTGGGAGGGTAGAGCTGACTGGCCTGCAACTCCCCAGGAACCTGTCTCTGTAGTTCCCTTGCCTCAGAAAGCCCAAGGAAGACACTCTCATGGCTCCTCTCCTCATGGAAGATTCTCCCATGGCTCCTCTCCCCAGGGAAGATGCTCCCATGGCTCCTCCCCTCAGGGAAGATGCTCCCAGGGCTCTTCTCCCCAGGGAAGATTGTCTCATGGTTCCTCTCCTCAGGGAAGATGCTCTCATGGCTCCTCTCCTCAGGAAAGACATTTCTATGGCTCGTTTCCCCGGGAAGATGCTCTCATGGCTCCTCTCCCCAGGGAAGATGCTCTCATGGTTCCTCTCCTCAGGGAGAACACCCTCATTGCTCCTCTCCTCAGGAAAGGCATTTCCATGGCTCGTCTCCCCCTGGGAAGACACTCTCATGGCTCTTCTCCCTCGGGAAGACACTCTTATGGCTCCTCTCCCCAGGGAAGATGCTCACATGGCTCCTCTCCTCAGAAAAGACGCTCTCATGGCTCGTCTCCTCAGGGAAGATGCTCTCATGGCTCCTCTCCTCAGGAAAGACATTTCCATGGCTCGTCTCCCCCCGGGAAGACACTCTCATGGCTTCACCTCAGGGAAGATTCTCTCATGGCTCCTCTCCTCAGGGAAGACACTCTCATGGCTCCTCTCCTCAGGGAAGCTGTTCCCATGGTTCCTCTCCACCTGCCCTCAGTGTGGGTCCACCAGGGCTCCTGCCTCAGGGGAGTGCACAGAGCAGCTGGCTGAACTGGCCTTTGGCATTCTTGCCTGAGACACCTGCCACCCTGGCCACCACATGGGCCGAAACTCACACAGCAGCAGAAACATCAACTTCCAGACACAGTCCTGGGCTCTGGGGCTGCAGAGAGGAGGGCTGCAGATTGAGTGCCTGGGAGGAAGCTGTGTGAGACTGGGGGCTTGTGAGCTCAAGGGCCACCAAGAGATGCTCGGGGGGGTGGGGTGGGGAGGGAAGGAGCGCCAGGACAATAAGGTGCCCAGCTCAGAAGGGCAGAGTCAGGTGGTTGTGTGGAGCTGGTGGCTGCGGTCCTTTCCTGGGGCCTGACCCAAGGAGCAGGGTCCCTCGGCCAGGACTCGTGAACCAGTGTTCTGTCTTTAGACTTTCTGACAGCACTGTGGATAAAATGGGCTCCCAAGGGAGAAGATGAAGTTCAGGGTTTAAAGGGGACAGCCACTGTCACCAGACTCAATGTGAAAACGGGTGGGCTTACTCTGGTTCCCTCTCGGGTGCATTGGTGATGGGTGACCTAGCCCCTCTGTGCTCTGTCCTGGGGGCTCCGGAGCCTGTCCAGGGCCGCGTCTGTGGGACTCACAGCGTTCTGTGCCTGCGGTGGCATGTTGATGCGAACACCAAGAGTCCAACGGCCCCGTCCAGTCCTACCACCGTAGGACAGGCCTGGGACAGGCTGTGTGCCAGGGGCCACCCAGGGCCGCCCCTGCTGCCTCGGCATCTGGAACTGCACACGGTGCAGAGCGGCCTCAGCCCAGCTGGGGTCAGGGCTCCGCTCCCCACCAGGCCGCCCCAGCGTTCCCACCCCAGGACGGGCTGGCCACAGCCCACGGCTCTGAACTGTCTGCCGTGTCACCTTCACTCTGTGTAGACACGCAGCGCTTGGTCCTCTTGGGAGACACACTCACCCTGCACTCGGTCACCTCTAACCCAGCAGCCTTGCAGGGGTCCTTCCCGGTGAGCTCAGCCCTCGTTTTCTCACAGAGACGTCCCCATGGTAGCGCCTGCTTTCAGAACCTCCTGGCCGTCTCTCCTGGAGGAGTTTCCGAGTTGTCCTCTCAAGACTCAGGCTGCTGTGGGGTTAACGCGTAGATCAGTCTGTCTTCTCTGCTGGCGCTTGTGGCCATCGTCCTCTTTCCAGCCAAAGCTCTGCACTCAAGCCTTTAATTTTACTGTAAATGGCCTTTAAATATTTCCCTATTCCTAAGCAATGGTAAGCCAATATGTGAGTCTGAATCCCAAATTAAAGGTCACATGAGGTCGCGAGAACCCTGCAGGACTCAGCAGTAACCTGTAGCCATCTCCGGCGTGCAGAGCGACAGCCGACTCGGGAGAAACAGGCCAGGGTGGCAGCTCTGTGGGGCTGAGGCCCCAGGCCAGACCCACTCTGCACCCCTGGGATAACCCTGGGGGCCCCCAGCAGCACTGGGCACCCCAGGCTGGGCCCCTCTGGGGAGGTTCTCAGTACCCACCCACAGCTCTGTGAAGAAAAGCCACAGCACTGCCGAGATCCTGACAGTTCTGTGCTGTCCTCTGTGGCACGGATGGCCTCCCGTGGACGAGCATCTGCGCTATCCCGTTTGGCCTCGAGATAGTGTCTGGACTCTGTGACCGCCAGAGTCATGCATGCCCATGGGCCTGTGTGATGACATGTCCACAACCCACCGGCCACCTGTGCGACCTTTGTGTCATTTTCTTGCCTTTCTCGCACCTGTTCTCGAGCAGTGCCAGCCTTCCCTCCCCCTGACAGTGCTCACGGGAGCACTGAGTGTCTGCTGACCTCGCTCCCTTGTTCCTCCCGACACGGAGAGTGTTTTCCTTAAGCGTGTCCCTGCCAGCTTTATCCGGGGCCACATCTCCGGTAGCGTCAACATCCCATTCAGCTCGGCCTTCACGGCGGAGGGGGAGCTGAGCCCCAGCCCGCACGCCGCTCTGCTGCCCAGCTTCCGCGGGAAGGTCATCGTCGTCGTGGGCCACGCGGGGCCACACATGGCACAGGTGAGTGTCCTGCCCGCGTCTCTCTCCCTGGGGTGGGCGTCAGAGGCGGAAGAGAGTTGGGGGGGACCTGGGCTGTTGCTGGGAACTGTGTTGTATGGGACCTGCTGTCTACACGTGCAGAATAGCTGCCAGCTGGGGGCCTGGGGCAGTGCCAGCTGTGGTGGGTCTTGTTGGCCATGTGGGTGCTGTGTGGCATGTTAAGGGGACCCTGGGAATAAGATCCTGCTTTCCCCTGGGAGGACGGCGTGGAACTGTCTAGGGGATCCGAGCAAGGGGAAACAGCAGGAGAGGGCAGATATGGCAGGCAAAGACGTTCTTTCTTAGAAAGTCAGATCAGAAGGAGACAGGCCAGCGGGAGGGGCCCGGAGAGTGGCCAGCAAGGGTGGCAGCCGAGGGGGTCACCCCCAGCACGAAGGCAGACCCTGACCGAGGCGGAGCACCCCCAGGGAGGCCAGCAGTGAGTGGAAGAGGGGAGGAGTGCACTCGGTGCTGTCAGCAGTGCCCAGACAGCCCTTTTCTCTGCCCTGTGGTTCCTCATGTCCGGACACACCCAGCAGTGACCACCAGAAATGTGTGCAGAGAAGAACTGCAAGCGTGCGGGTCACGGGGGTCCCGGACGCAAGGGTCCTGGTCACATAGGGGTGAGGTGAAGTAGGTTATTCATCAGTGGCTTTTGTCTCGTTCGGGAACATGCCCTTGGGTGTTTTTATCATAAGAAGGAGCTGAATTCTGTGAAATCCTTCTCTGCGTCCATGGATTAATGATCCTCCATGTTCCCTCTCTATGCCGTGAACGTGATGTGTTGCTTGATTCCTGTCAGTTTCTCATGGGTTCCCAGTGTGAGGTAAACTCGGTGGTGGCGTCTCATCCTCGAGACTCACTGCCAAGTCCAGCCCGCCAGAGTTTTGTTGACAGGTTTTTGCACCCGTGTCAAGTAGGAGGGTTGGTTTATGCCTCTCTGTTTCTGCAGCATCAGTGTCCGGCTGTGGTGGAAGCATTGTGCTGGCCTCCTGGTGTGGGCTAAGAGGAAATCCTCTCTCTTCAGTTTGTCAGGAGAATCTGAGAGGGATTGGGATTGATTCTAGCCAGAGCAATTGGGAAAGAAAAGGAAATAAAAATAGATACCAGGGCCTAGTTCACTGGCCTAAGCACCTGCCTCAGGCGAACACTCGCTCCCACACTGCCTTATGGGCTGAGCACTGTCCTTGGAGTCTGTCAGGTCAGCCTGGCGCTTGCCATCTCCTCACCAGGGCCACAGGCAGCTTCCCACACCCCCAGCAGCTGTGCCGGACAGTGTGACAGCAGGGAAGTGACAGATGTAAAACAAGAGTTTGTGTTGGTGTTCTCAGGCTGCCCTGGAAAGTCCCACCGGACTGGTGTTGAAATAATGAGTGTAGCCAAAGTAGAGAGAGAGAGTATTGTCCAAATTGTCTACCACACAGACAGGGGAAGGAGTGGAATGGGGGTGGGGAGTTACTGAGGATTTTGGTGGTGGGGTATGTGCACTGGTGAACGGATGGGTCTTTGATAATTGTATGATCGAAGTTCAAACATGAAAGCTTGTAACTATCTCATGGTGAATCAAAGAAAAAAAAGGGAGAAAAAAATAATAAAGTCCCACCCACAGGGCTGCTGGAGTGTTAGCACAGCGATAGGGCGTTCGCCTTACAAGCGGCCAACATGGCCGACCCGAGTTCGATTCCTCCGCCCCTCTCGGAGAGCCCGGCAAGCTACCGAGAGTATTCGATATGCCAAACACAGTAACAACAAAGTCTCCAATGGAGACGTTACTGGGCCCGCTCGAGCAAATCGACGATCAACGGGAGGGCCTTTACCTTACCTTTACCACCCACAGGGCGGCCCTCACTTTCAGACCATTAGCGGCCGTGTCCTGCTGAGTCTGGGTGGGTCTTTCCTCAGCATCTGAGAGCTTGTACCACAGCGATGGGCACCTCACCACAGCGCACTCCCTGCATGTGTCTCGCTCTGTGACTCTCGTATGCTGCTCCTGAGATTCAGGGCCCACGCCTTTCCAGTGTGGCCATACTCCAGCAGCAGGCCTCTGGTCAGTGAGGTCCATTCAGAGGCTCTGGAAACAGTGTGAGGGGACGTCACTCAACCCTGACGTAAAAGGTTGGACTCTGTTGGCTGTTGATATGATCTTATATCTAAACCCCACCAAGATCACATTCACATACACAACCTGTTAGAACCAATGAATGGACCGAGCAAAGTTATAGGATATACATCAACACAAGAAATCCATTGTATCTCTCTCTATATTCCAACAAGGAACAGTCCAAAAAAGAAATGAGAACAATCTCATTTTCTCTAGCATCAAAAAAGAGCAAAAATACGGCAGAATCACTATGACACTCCAGAAACTATACATTGTTACTGAAAATATTTCAAGAAGATCTCAGTGAATGGACAATCATTCTGTGCTCGTGGATCGATCAAAAGGTGTGTTAGTGCTGAGATGGCACTCCTGCCTGAAACAAGTACAGTTCCAGGGCAACAGCCCCTTTCAAATTCACAGTGGCATGGAAAAGTCGTGTCCTAAAGGTGATACGAGATTTCAAGAAACCCAGAATAGCCAAAACAGTCTTGAAAAAGAAAAGCTAAGTAAGTCATATTTTCTCATTTCAGAACTTAATACTTAAACTACAGTAATGAAAATAGTGTGGTTTGGACATCCATGTTTTTTTGTAGAATGTTTGAAAGTTAATGGCCCTGAAATATAAACTCTCACATTAGTGGTCAACTCATTTTTGATAGTGGTGCCACGACCATTCAATGAGAAGGAAGTTAGTTACTGGTTTTGGCACATCGAATAATGCCACAGATAGCTTGCCAGGCTCTGCCGTGCGGGTGGGATATTCTCGGTAGCTTGCCAGGCTCTCCAAGAGGGATAGAGGCTTTTTTGGGCGGCCGCTAATCGCCCTTGCAGGTGTTCTCATGGTTCAAACCATATTTGAACCCTATCAAATATGGTGCGGTAATCTTGGAAGATGGGTATTAAGTGTCTTATGATGTGACGCGTGGTCCGGAAGGTGTTAGTTATCTCTTCAATAAATGGCTCTGGGACAATTAGACTTACATATGTAAAAGAATGAAATTGGTCCCCTGCCCCCCAAATGACAAAAACAAACTCAAAATGGAGCAGAGACCTAACTTGCAGAGCTAAAATTATTTCTTACAAGAAGACACAGGGACAGATCTTTATGACATTGTATTTGTTAACGGTCTCTTAAATATGACCCCAGCTCCTTCTCAAAGGAATTGAAAGAGCTATGCTTAGAGTATCACACATCACTCAAATGAGAGAAAGAATCCAGAGTTCTGACCTCCATCGACGATCAAGAATCAGGGATGCTGTCTCATTTGCCAAGTCGTCAAAAATCAGATGGGCTGGACACGTAATGAGATTTGGAGATGACCACTGGACTAGAGCCATTACCGACTGGATTCTACGGGACGTCAAAAGATCGCATGGCCGCCCACCTACAAGATGGTCAGACTTCTTCGTCAAGACCCTGAACTATTGGTTTGAGGCTCTTCGTGTTCCTAGAACGAGCAGACACCATTGGGCTGTACTAGCACGCGATAGGGATGAATGGAGACATTACTGGCGCCTGCTTGAGCAAATTGATGAGTAACAGAATGTCAGGTGATCAAGTGATTTCCTTCTCTATTGATGAAAGTGTCCATAAGCGGAGACTTCCGGGCAAGCAGCAGCTCCTCTTCAAAGCTGGTGCACTCCATTCTGAAAAGATTCAGAAAACTCCAGCTCGGTGCTGTGAATGGAAGCAGAGGTGCCTGTGCTACTGAGCACAGTTAGAAATTCTTTGCCAAAGTTTGTCATTGTTGTGTCAGACCCATATTTGGACCTGAGAACTTTTTGTTTGCCAAACAATAGGCGCTGATTGTAATTTTCCTAGCTTTACATCTTCCGGCGAAACTTGGTAAAGTTGACTTAGACGGAGAATCTAACAAATAAAAATAATGAGTCGGGAAGAATGTGGCTTAATTACAGGAAAACGCTCTTGATATTGAATTGAACGAATGCAAAATATTGAACAACTCCACAAAAGCAAAGATACCACTTGCCTCTGCTCTTAGAGTGTTAAAGCTACCCATTTAGCAGGCAAATTAGGACCAGAGGGTCTGTCGCATGACAAAAAAGAAAGAAGTAGAGGGGGTGTAGCTCAGTGTAGAGCATTGACTGCCACAATGAAATAATCACTCTACAATGACCAGATGTATTGCGTGTATTGTCTGCAGCCAGGTAGGAGACGGAATAGACCTAAGAAAGGCTGCTCATTGAAGTCAGACAGTGTGACATTTGATACCACTTAAGTCATTGACTGTTTCCCACAATTACCATTGGTTCGAAGTTGGTTGCCATGAGACGTTTTCCTGAAAGTTATAACCACTTCCTCAGACTCATGGCTTTGGCCTCGCCCCTCCTTCCTCGCGCAGGAATGCTTTGACATTCTGCTGTTTCTCACACAGCACCTCCACTGCCTCTCTCTCTCGAAGAGAGCAAAGAAGGAAGACCAAGAGGACTTGGTTTAGTTAGGACCGGGGAGCGGCTTCCCCGTACCAGCAGGAAGTATCACTAAAGTCTGTTGTCTCTGACTCGGTTTCCCCCCGGTGTCAGTGGGGCCAAGGACCTGTGTGCAGCCAGGTGCCCCCAGATGCCCCAACAGCTGGTTTGCATCAGGGTTAGGGCAGGGCATGGAATCCAGGTCTTGGCTGTGGTGTCCTGCTCTGAGGTAGACCCCACCTCGGGCCAACCCCTGCTGCTGCTAGTGAATTTCTTTTGATTTTGCCTCTGTTGGAAGGACTCGACAGCTCACAAGTCCTTGTTTTTAGATAAGACTGAAGTCAGTTCAAGCTTTAAGTGCATCAAGTTTTTTAATGGAAGACCCAGGAAACCTCGCCCTGGCTTCTTGCTGGAGATAACCATCTCTTGGGAACCCAGGAGAGGCGAGATG